CAGTGACCTCAGTGCTTTTACAATGCTGCCAGCCGATAAGTGGCAATATGCTGCATCTTATAGAATTAACAAGACTGAGGTAGGGAGAGTGGGCTGGGGCTGAGGTGGGGGAGGCGACATCTTATAGCACTTGAGAATATCGCCTGTATGAATGAAGGGATTTAGCCCACATTCTTAACTGAGACTTTATTGTTTTGTGTGTTTTGATTTGATTTTTTTTTTTTTACTGGCTACCTTTACAAGGCTATTTATGTTCCCCATAATGTTTTCCTAGGCGTTTTAATGCGGTGGAATTTATTAAAGCTACTGTAGGAGTGGCCGCTGCTTGTGAACCTGACAGTGGCTGGCTATCAAAGTGACTGCATAGGATTTTAGCATGCCTTTGCAGTGCCACAGGGTTGTCTGTCTCCACTGATGGGCAGCCATATTCTCCCCCTCTACTGAGCCTCTACGCTCTGGGTATAGGCTCAAAGTTAACAATACGCTGTTTCACATTGCTCCGTTTTGCATTGTATCCCTAAATGTCTATACCTGGTAATGTAGCATGTGTCATAATCCGACTGCATTGTCGAGGGAGCGCAGTGCACCCAATGCACCCTCACCCGGAAAGGCAACCACAGCCGTTGTATTATTCTGTGGGAAACAATATTAACCAGACATGTTTCCTCTGTCTTAACACATTCAAATCAGATGCATCTCCAAGCAGCTTTTATTCCTGCATACCTCCCAGTATAACCTCCTCACCTCTCCCACACAGCCATGGGATACGAGGGGAGAGAGAACCAGGGTGCGGATGTGTGAACCGTCATTGTTTGCTGCCTGCGTTCCGGGGCTGGATAGCAAATTATTCATGCATGATTTGAATACATGCAAATTCATCACTCTCCTTTCTGGCACAGTTACAGGTACCTATGGCAACCGCGCCTCCACCAAGCATCCCTGTCCCCGTCCCACTCTCACAATCCCAGGCCCCCTCCGCCCATTTTATTGCCTGGTTCTATTGTTTAGATTGTGGCAATACCAGGGTGGCTGCTCACTGTTGGGTGGCAAGGTATCCCAGAATTCACAGTCAAGGTCAAGGGCAGAAGGAGGGAGGCAGGGAGGCAGAGAGGTAGGGAGGGAGAGAGACAGGGAGGGAGACAGGGTCCTCTCTCCAGCCAAGCGGTCGGTCGGTCAGTCTGTCAGGCAGAAGCAGACACCCAGGCTCACACCCACTGGTGTGCATCATTAACTGGAGGGGGTGAGGTGGCGCCATCGCTCCACATTGGCCACAGTATCATCTCAACCATACTTTGAGGATCACAGAACATGCACAGTCCATTTAGTCGACTGACTGAGGTGATACCACTCCTCTCATCTTTTGAGACCCGTGGCCAAATCACACTGAAGCAAATGCATTTGTTGAATAAAAGATTGCGAGATATCGGGTGAAGGTATAATTTTTTTGCTGGAATTTGCCTGGTAATTTAAGGGACTACTACAATTGTTGTTTTAAATTTAGTTTTTTAATCTCTTCCTAAAATGAATTGAGATATCTTCAATGGTTATCTGTGCTTGTGAGGCTGGTATGCCCTTAAGGGCAGCGCCAATTCAGTTCAGCTCTGACATTGTGGCACCTCACAGGTTGACTTATAATTGCTAAGCTTTGGTAAAAAGCTTTAGGGAATAAAAACATTTATATCAAAGAAAGAACTCAAGGTTGAAAGTCTCTATGAAATGATGCATGACTCGACTGAACTGCAGTTATTCTGTGTAACTACAAAGAGTGGAATGGGTTTACACTCAGTTACATTGTTTTGTTTTTTATAACATTATATCTTTTGAAGATATTTAAGATATTTTCATGATATTTATTCAGCAACTATGGTCCATTGCCATAGTGATATCGAGAGCTTGGGACTATAAAGTTATATCTGCAAAAAGATGATCTGAGATAATTGGCTTTAAAGCTCCTCATTGGTTTGAATGGTGTCAGCAAGTTTTTAAAATCTTGTATTATTTTGAACTTATCAACATGAATTGGGGTATTTATAGTACTATATAGGTAGACAACATTGAACAGAAAAAGGCTATGTCAATAAATACATTTTGCCAAAAATGCAGATAGAACTTTATAGTATTTTTTACTGCACTTCAGTTTTGCAATGTAAATATATTTTTAATCCCGTGTAGCTCAGTTGGTAGAGCATAGCGTTTGCAACGCCAGGGTTGTGGGTTCGATTCCCACGGGGGGCCAGTATGAAAATGTTATTTTGTAAACTAATTGTAAGTCGCTCTGGATAAGAGTGTCTGCTAAATGACTAAAATGTAAAAAAAATGTAAAATGTAATCCATCTATCTACATATTTCAAGACATGTCATATGAGGGTGGGTGAGATACCCAATGGATTGGACCATACTTTTCTCATCAATCATTTAGAAAAAACGTTGACTTAAAAACTGGAAATCAAATGCTCCTTCATCGTTAAGACAGTGGATTAATCAAATGTATTATTATTTAAATTATTGAAAAAAATTGGGCTACAGAGAGAAACATACTAGCGTAATTTGAGGCCATATGGCATAGAGTGTTACAAGCACTGGAAATGTCCAAAGGATGAAGAATGAGGGGGAATGTCGTTGTGAGACAAACGGAATGGGTATTGTTGAGGTGGTAACATGTTGGTCTCAGCAGGTGTGATGTCATGATATTTGTTGAAATTTGTGTGAGTCTGTTTATTGTCCCTTGTCTATGTATGTTCTATATTGTTGAAGAAAAAAAAATGATGAAAAAAAAAACATTTGCGCTGGTGGGTGTAGAAATGTGTATAAGGGTGTAATTTCAGTAATAACAATGATCCTACTCAAACCCCACAGTGACCAGTGTGAAGGTCAAATTCAGGGCAGGCAGGCGGTGTGTGATCAGAGGCTGAACTAACTAGCTACTGCCATCTAGTGATACTTTAGATCAACCTACTGCCTATGGCTCCAATGCCACAATCAGAGGTCAAGCCAACATATAAAGAACGATGGTACTTTATAAAATTACAGCCCTTCTAATTAAAAACTATAATTACTTGATAGATTATCTTCCATTTGGACAGTCTTATTTCAGGTCAACGAAATATGACTTGACTTTCCAGTCTACCAGATAATAACGTTTCTGTGTTCTGCACATACAGTGGACCGTTTCAGCCCCAGCTTTCAGTTTGCTGAACACTTGGCTCCATCTTGTGGACAAATAGAGATACTGTTTCATGTTACGATAAAACATATTTATTTCAAGTACAGTAGTGATTAGCCTGTGATTGTTGTATCCTGTACATTAATCATTCGCAAAAAATATTTCAATTAGACATCAAGTTTAGTAATTAATACAGATTGTGTTTTTAGCATAATTAGTTATGATCAATGGTTATTTCACATTACACTGATTTCCAGAAGTACCTTTTTTAGCATATAAGAATATTCAAGACATCAATATCTAATCGAATCAATTTTATTGGTCACATACACATATTCAGCAGATGTTATTGCAGGTGTAGCGAAATGCTTGTGTAAAGTATTAACAAACATATAAACAGATATATGACAAACTGAATTTCCTTAACAATAAGACTACATATAGTTGAAAGAGTATCTTAATATTAGAAATATACTGATTATATATTTATTCCTTAGGCTACATGCAGTGGGCAAATTTAGGATGATATCTATTAGATTCCAGTTAGACACTACAACACTATATTTCTATACACCAGCCAGTGAAACTGTGCAGTCCTGCTGACATGATTACTGACTGTAAAATGTATGAATGTATTTATCTCTGTCATCAATGTGAAAGGGCATCGGCCAGCTATCGCACACTGACATAATCAGGTTCAATATTATACTGTATTGTATGCAACAACAAAAAAATGAAATTATATGTTATACTAATACAATTGCTCAGATAGATTTTGTTTAACAATTAATGACCAAAAAATTTTTAAAAGAGGGGTAAAAATTGTTACTCGTTTTCAAAACTCCCCTTGCGAGGATAACGTCACTGAGCCTTTTTCTCAAATGTTTTATGAGATTGGAGAACACATTGGGAGGGATCTTAGACCATTTCTCCATACAGAATCTTTCCAGATCCTTGATATCCTTTGTCTGCGCTTATGGACTGCCCTCTTCAATTCAAACCACAGGTTTTCAACGGGGTTCAAGTCCGGAGACTGAGATGGCCATTGCCAAATGTTGATTTTGTGGTCAATTAACCATTTCTTTGTGGATTTTGATGTGTGCTTGGGGTTATCATCTTGCTGGAAGATCCACTTGTGGCCAAGTTTCGGCAACTAGGTTTTTGGCTAAAATGTCCTGGTACTGGGTAAAGTTCCTGATGCCATTGACCTTAACAAGGGCCCCAGGACCAGTGGAAGCAAAATAGCCCAATAACATCAAAGACCCACCCCCATATTTTACAGTAGGTATGTTTTTTTCTCTCTTCATATGCATGTTTTTTCATGTCACCTGACCATAGCAAAGGTTCCAATCCAAGTGCCAATGCCGTTTAGCAATCTCCAATTGTTGGATGACATGACAATTGAGCTCTTTGGTCATGAACACTGGTTAATTAACCACAAAATCAACATTTGGCAATGGCCATCTCAGTCTCCGGACTTGAAACACATTAAAAACCTGTGGTTTTAATTGAGTAGGGCAGTCCATAAACGCAGACTAAGAATATCAAGGATCTGGAAAGATTCTGTATGGAGGAATGGTCTAAGATCTCTCCCAATGTGTTCTCCAACTCATAAAACATTTTAGAAAAAGGCTCAGTGCCGTTATCCTCGCAGGGGGAGGTATTGAAAACAAGTGTGGCAATAATTTTGACCCCTATCTTTTTTAGAGAACGAAAAATTACTTGTTAAACAAAATCTCTTTCTCTGAGCAATTGTATTAGTATAAAATATAATTCTAACATTTTTATAAGCATACAATATAGCTCAGTATTTATTTTATAGTCTTTTTTGCTCATCTTTATCAAGGGTGCCAATAATTTTTAACCTGACAGTACATTAGTTTCCATTCCATTCCATCTTGGCACGTCATAAAATGGACATTACTAACCGTCAAAATCCAGCAACAAGCTCTTTGGAACAAGGCTACATTCTCCTCAACTACCAGCAATCAACAAACTATCAACAATCCAGATTTTCTGGCAGCAAGGCGCACTAGGTGAATCTTCATTGAAACGTTGATGCTAAATGCAAAAGTGAGCGAAGAGCAGCGAATTACAGCTGCAACGAGCCCTGAAATAATCAAGAATCAAGAAGAAAAGCAGCAATGCATGGTTAAAAATATAAAAGTGAATCTTCAGTTAAAAGCAACAGAAAACATTGTGAGCACAAACAGTTGATAAAATACTGTACTAAAATGAACCCATAGTAAAGTTCTTCACCTCTCTGAATATCTCCAGACCCAGTAAAAGTGCCCTTACCAAACATAATACCACAATCTCAACCAAATATAAGGACTGGAAACGTAAAATAATTCACATTCTCATACCTCTCATATTGCAAACTCATGCACACATCTACCCTGTTTGAGGACACTTATTTTAGCCTTAGTGCAGACACCCCATCCATCAACAGCAAGAGTGGGGGGTCTGGCTGTGCGTGCTTAATGTGTGTCAGAGGATGTGCGCTTAAAGAAACTGACAGCTTCTGCCTCCCCTTTCAATCCCTATCTGACGTGTAGAGTGCAGAGGATCCATATTGTGTCTGTGACCGACGGACTACAACTGTAGTCCCAACAGTGACCCTTTCCTCTGGCTCCCCCTGCTGAATCAGTGTGTGAAGTATCCCAACTGGTGCATCTTGTGCAGGAGGTTGTGCATGAGGTCAAAGGTGGTGAAGCTGACCCCCACAGCGATAGGACCTTTGATCCAGTTCATACTGAGGCCCTTGTAGAGTCCACGCACCACCCCCTCCTGCACCACAATCGTCTTCATGGTGCCCAGGACGCTGCCGTACTGTTGGCCCGTCACCCCCGCTGTCTGCATACGTCGGCGAACCACGTCCAGCGGGTAAGAGGCCGACTGGCCGATCAGGCCGGCACACGCGCCAAACGCCAGACGCTCGTAGGAGTACGGCTGGGACCGCCTAGTCCTCTCTGGAGAAAGGAATGGGAGAAGGAGAGAAAGAAAGATCAAATTAAGCCCTTCATCAAAAATCCAATCATTCAATTAAGAAAATTATAACATAAAAAGGAGGCTGTACCTGCATGCAGATTCTTGAGGGTCTCATATGTGAAGAAGGTGATTCCTGAGTATGGGATCACTCCCAGGATGGTTGGGCAGAAGCCTCTGTACAGGGTCTTAATGCCCTCCTCCTGTGTAATGCGTACAAACACGTGCAGAATGTTGCTGTACCTGTAGGGAAGAAAGATTAGAGATAAGAGTAGGATATGAACCTATATGGATATTTATATAAGGATAAAAACATGACCTATATTAACCTATATGCCTGTTAATCTTTGACTAAGTGGGCAAAGGGGAAACCACATGCAGGCAGGGCTCTAAATTAACATTTTTCATTGGTAGCACTGGTGCTTCCAACATAAAAAAGTTAGGAGCGCCAAATGAAATTTAGGAGCATCAGAAAATATGATTTTTGAATTCTAGTTACTTTTGAAGCACGTTTTTGTTTTTTGTTTTTACTTTTATACATTCAAGAAAATGAACATTCCAAATAGGTACAAGGTACAATTACAATACTACACTTTCAACAAATAAACCATTACAATATATCGAAACAACTGCAATCCTCAATTAATTCCTTTAACACCAGATTCCTAAACTGCCCTAGCAGCACCAGGGAATGAAGATGAAAGGGAATTTGCAGGTTATTCCAACAATGGGGACACTAAAACTAAAGGAGGACCTCAAGAGTTAACCAACCCTGTGAGCAGGTTTGGTAGCTCATTCTTTTATACTTTAGCAATGACGTTAGGTAAGTCGGAAGCTTGTGTAGTAGAGCTTTGTAAACAAAAAGGGAATAATTAATTGATCAACGGGACTTTAATGAGGACCAGCCAACCTTTTGATACAGGATGCAGTGGTGACTATCAAAACTGTCACCAGTGATAAAACGAATGGCACTATGGTAGACAGAATCCAAAGGCTTAAGAGTAGTGGCTGCTGCAATCTGGTAAATGGTGTCACCATAATCAAGAACTGGCTGGAAAATTGACTGTACAATCTGCTTCCTGCTCATCTGTATGTTTTTTAAACATGAATTCTTTGTCAATCCAAATGCCCAGATATTTGTAGGCGGGAACCCGATCAATGGGAGAACCATCCAATGAATAAATAAGTATTACATCTGAAACATTCTTGCGAGAACAACATGTATTTAGTCTTGCCCGCATTAAGTACAAGTTTTAAACCAACCAGGGCTTTCTGTAAGGTAACAAGGTCAGATCACAGCTCTAACATAGCCTGGTCAACAGTTGGGGCAATTGCATACATAAGTGTCATCTGCATACAGATGAATATTAACAAGTTTTAACAGATAGACCAATATTATTTATATAAATAGTAAAGAGAACAGGTCCCAGTTCCGACCCCAGCGGTACACCTTTAGTAACATCCAGGAAACTAGACTTAACACCATCAGAGATCACACATTGAGTCCTGTCCTGTCATTTTCAAATCACTTGCAAGAAGCCTGATCCAGGTCTATTTCAGTCTACCTTTGAATAAGAATGTGATGGTCAACGGTATCGAAGGCCTAGGAAAGGTCTATAAATAAGGCAGAACAATGATTTTTATGATCCAAGCAATTTAACACATCATCTAAAACAAGTGTAGCAGCTGAAACTGTGCTATGTCCAGGTCTAAAAACAGGAGTGGTGCACATTAAGAATAGAGTGAGAAGTTACAAAAGTTCTTAGCTGAAAGTTAGTCGGGGAATCTAAAACTTTGGAAAGGCAAGATCATTTGGAAATTGGACAGTCAGAAGGATCTCCTCCTTTATGTAGGGGGAGGACATGTGCCGCTTTCCAGATCCTCTGTAGCTCAGCTGGTAGAGCACAGCGCTTGTAACGCCAAGGTAGTGGGTTCGATCCCCGGGACCACCCATACACAAAAATGTATGCACGCACGACTGTAAGTCGCTTTGGATAAAAGCGTCTGCTAAATGGCATATTATTATTATTTTATCTTAGGGATAACACCAGAAACAAGTTAAAAATATAGGTCAGTGGTTGTGCAATAAGTGGGGCAGAGAGCTGCAGTAAGAAGAGATCAAGCAACCACAGGGCTCTCCAGAGGGTGGTGCGGTCTTCCCAACGCATCACCGGGGGCACACTGCCTGCCAACCAGGACATCTACAGCACCCGGTGTAACAGGAAGGCCAAAAAGATAATCAAGGACCTCAGCCACGGCCTGTTCACCCCGCTACCATCCAGAAGGCGAGGTCAGTACAGGTGCATCAAAGCTAGGACCGAGAGACTGAAAAACAGCTTCTATCTCAAGGCCATCAGACTGTCACCACTATCCGGCCCCCGCCCAGTACCCTTGCCCTGAACTTTAGTCACTGTCACTAGCCGGCTACCACCCGGTTACTCTACCATGCACCTTAGAGGTTGCTACCATATGTACATAGTCATGAAACACTGGTCACTTTAATAATGTTTACATACTGCTTTACCCACTTCATATATACAGTGGGGAAAACAAGTATTTCATACACTGCCGATTTTGCAGGTTTTCCTACTTACAAAGCATGTAGAGGTCTGTAATTTTTATCATAGGTACACTTCAACTGTGAGTGACGGAATCTAAAACAAAAATCCAGAAAATCACTTTGTATGATTTTTAAGTAATTAATTTGCATTTTTATGTACATAAGTATTTGATCACCTACCAACCAGTAAGAATTCCGGCTCTCACAGACCTGTTAGTTTTTCTTTAAGAAGTCCTCCTGTTCTCCACTCATTACCTGTATTAACTGCACCTGTTTGAACTCGTTACCTGTATAAAAGACACCTGTCCACACACTCAATCAAACAGACTCCAACCTCTCCACAATGGCCAAGACCAGAGAGATGTGTAAGGACATCAGGGATAAAATTGTAGACCTGCACAAGGCTGGGATGGGCTACAGGACAATAGGCAAGCAGCTTGGTGAGAAGGCAACAACTGTTGGCGCAATTATTGGAAAATGGAAGAAGTTCAAGATGACGGTCAATCACCCTCGGTCTGGGGCTCCATGCAAGATCTCACCTCGTGGGGCATCAATGATCATGAGGAAGGTGAGGGATCAGCCCAGAACTACACGGCAGGACCTGGTCAATGACCTGAAGAGAGCTGGGACCACAGTCTCAAAGAAAACCATTAGTAACACACTACGCCGTCATGGATTAAAATCCTGCAGCGCACGCAAGGTCCCCCTGCTCAAGCCAGCGCACGTCCAGGCCCGTCTGAAGTTTGCCAATGACCATCTGGATGATCCAGAGGAAGAATGGGAGAAGGTCATGTGGTCTGATGAGACAAAAATATAGCTTTTTGGTCTAAACTCCACTCGCCGTGTTTGGAGGAAGAAGAAGGATGAGTACAACCCCAAGAACACCATCCCAACCGTGAAGCATGGAAGTGGAAACATCATTCTTTGGGGATGCTTTTCTGCAAAGGGGACAGAGCGACTGCACCGTATTGAGGGGAGGATGGATGGGGCCATGTATCGCGAGATCTTGGCCAACAACCTCCTTCCCTCAGTAAGAGCATTGAAGATGGGTTGTGGCTGGGTCTTCCAGCATGACACCGACCCGAAACACACAGCCAGGGCAACTAAGGAGTGGCTCCGTAAGAAGCATCTCAAGGTCCTGGAGTGGCCTAGCCAGTCTCCAGACCTGAGCCCAATAGAAAATCTTTGGAGGGAGCTGAAAGTCTGTATTGCCAAGCGACAGCCCCGAAACCTGAAGGATCTGGAGAAGGTCTGTATGGACGAGTGGGCCAAAATCCCTGCTTCAGTGTGTGCAAACCTGGTCAAGACCTACAGGAAACGTATGATCTCTGTAATTGCAAACAAAGGTTTCTGTACCAAATATTAAGTTCTGCTTTTCTGATGTATCAAATACTTATGTCATGCAATAAAATGCAAATTAATTACTTAAAAATCATACAATGTGATTTTCTGGATTTTTGTTTTAGATTCCGTCTCTCACAGTTGAAGTGTACCTATGATAAACATTACAGACCTCTACATGCTTTGTAAGTAGGAAAACCTTAGTCACGGCCTATCCTATTTAACTATTGCTGTACATATACTATTCTTCAGACATACTACATATTCTGTCCATATTGTCTATACTGTACATCCCATCACACACCTATATATATATATACACATACAGTGCCTTCGGAAAGTATTCAGACCCATTGACTTTTTCCACATTTTGTTATGTTACAGCCTTATGGATGGATCAATGGATAAAATAAAACAATTTCCTCAGCAATCTACACAATACCCCATAATGACAAAGCGAAAACAGGTTTTTAGAAATGTTTGCAAATGTATAAAAAATACAAAACAAATACCTTATTTACATAAGTATTCAGCCCCTTTGCTATGAGACTCAAAATTGAGATCAGGTGCATCCTGTTTCCATTGATCATCCCTGAGAGTCCACCTGTGGTAAATTCAATTGGTCGGACATGATTTGGAAAGGCTCACACCTGTCTATATAAGGTCCCACAGTTGACAGTGCATGTCAGAGCAAAAACCAAGCCATGATGTCGAAGGAATTGTCCATAGAGCTCCGAGACAGGATTGTGTCGAGGCACAGATCTGGGGAAGGGTACCAAAACATTTCTGCAGCATTGAAGGAAAAGCAGCCAACAAGTGCTCAGCATATGTGGGAACTCCTTCAAGACTGTTGGAAAAACATTCCAGGTGAAGCTGGTTGAGAGAATGCCAAGAGTGTGCAAAGCTGTCATCAAGGCAAAGGGTGACTACTTTGAAGATTCTCAAATTTATTTTGATTTGTTTAACACTTTTTTGGTTACTACATGATTCCATGTAGTATTTTCATGTGTTATTTTATAGTTTTGGTGTCTTCACTATTATTCTACAATGTAGAAAATAGTAAAAAATAAAGAAAAACCCTGGAATGAGTAGGTGTCCAAACTTATGACTGGTACTGTATATAAATATTACACACACACAGTGCATTCGGAAAGTATTCAGACCCCTTGACTTTTTCCACATTTTGTTGACAGTGCATGTCAGAATACTTTCCGAATCTCTCTCTCTAGATTTGTGTGTATTGTTAGATATTACTGCACTGTTGGAACTAGGAACACAAGCATTTCGCTACACCCGCAATAACATCTGCTAAATATGTGTATGTGACCAATAAAATTAGATTTGATGTGAATCAGCCCATTTTTACATCAATCTTTAGCAAAGTACTTAGTACATCATAGACATCAAAGGGTTGAAATCAAAATAAAGTATGTGAGTCTGTTAGTGCGTCATTCTCTACAATCTGTTCTGAGGTGACTAAAGGACTCCCTCTAGTGGGATGAGATTAATTTCAAACAGGTGGCCAGCTGAAGCAAAATGGTTATTGAAAGCGTCACAAATTTTCTTTTTGTCTAGAGTGGGTGCAGAGGCTGTCAAAACCTGCTGGGGCAATGAGGGGAATTGTCTGGATTAACACCACTCTCAGATACACAATTCAAGAAATATGTTGATTTTGCTTTTTTAACCAGGGATAGACATTTTATTCTCAAATGTCTGAAGGACTGCCAATCAGACGTAGAATCAGTCCATCTAGCCTTAGCCAAAGCTACATTTCTTTCCTGTAACCAAGGATTAAATCGGTCTTTTAACCATCGTTTTTTGTAAGGCATACGTTTATGTGCAAGAGATTAAAACAGGGAAAAAAAAAAAATGGTGCCCTTGAAACTAATATGTAACACTGTAAACAGTGTTTGTACATTAGTTTATTATAAACGCTAAATAAATTGATAGGAATACCTGTCATTGAAATTGCAAAGTCATATGTGGAATATTAGGTTCCTACATTGTGTATAAATCACTATTTTCCTATTGAGATTCATTACATAGAAAATTGTACACAGTCTCTATTAAAAACGTCAGGTTTGTGACAACGACATTGCTATGATCATTGATCTCCTGAAGAAGCTATCCCTTGTCCTTTCTTTCTATGGCCCCAAATGTGTGGACAAAGGCAGTACAGTATGAAGATAAGCAGAAACTGCTTCTTCAATAGAAATCCCTGATCACACTTGTAGGCGATGTCATGGCGACGTTGGCTAGCTAAATGTGTAGAAACACGTCATCGGGCCTAACTTTCGTCTCGCGCAAAACTGTGCTTGTGCAGGCCGTCAAATCAAAGGTACTCCTTAATATAAAGTCGTTTTTGACGAAAATCACTTTCACAAGGTTGGAGTAATAACATGTTTAACTACTTAAGACATTGTCTCGAATCTAGGTTGTGCCTTTAGATATTGAGAAAATTAACAACTATGGATTACATTTTCAGTTCTCCCATTGACTTCTCAAACCCCAAACCCCGGCCCAGTCTGCTTGATATGTTTCGCAAGTGTTCCCGGAAGTTTCACGATGTTGTGCCTTTAGAAACTCTATGGTTTGGATATACTGGTAAAGTTACCAGCAGACCCGTCGCCAGACCTCAGTCTTAAGGGGGGCATGTGAAATGCATGGGAGGGCAGGGCACAATTATTATTAGCCTACAGTACGTATATTTAATAATAAATTCCCTCAAGTGGGGGGGGGCACAAGCATTTTTGGGGGCGGGCCCGGCCCCCTATGGCCCGCCCATAGCGACGGGTGTGGTTACCAGGTTGTTAGCTAGCTAGCCAATGAGGTAACATGACTGAACAAAGTGTAAACAAATGGTTAACGACGCACAAGTAGTTTTAGAATGGCCCACGACATGGTTTATGAATGTAAAATGTGGTTTATGAATGTAAAATGTGGTTTATGAATGTAAAATGTGGTCCTAGCGATCCGCTACAGGAATATAAAAATGTTGCGCAGATAATATGGGTCAGATCTTTTGACCTGGTTGGGTTAGAAGCAAGCAGTTTTCACTGTAGTAATGGTGCAACCATGACGCTAACGAATATGCACTCGCTTGTTTCTCTAAGGCACTCAGAAACAACAATTACGGGAGATTTTGTTCATAGTCGCACAATATTTGGTCGCATTTTTGGTCGCACTTTAGAGACCTGCGTGCAGGTATGTTTATACATTCAAAGATTGACATTTATGAGTGTTATCGGAGTGCCCTACATTTGTCTGGGCGTCACTGCCATCCTGGCCCGCACCATGTCCAGGGGATAGGTGAGCATGGCAGCTGTGGTGCCAGCCAACGACCCTGCCAGGAAACGTGGAAAAGGAGGAAGGGCTCTGAAACAGACAGATAGATCAAATTACATTAAAATCAAATAACATTTTATTGGTCACATACACGTGTTTAGCAGATGTTATTGCGGGTGTAGCGAAATGGTTGTGTTTCTAGCTCCAACAGTGCAGTAAAATCTAACAAGTAATATCGAACAATTTCACAACATATACCCAATACACACAAATCTAAGTAAAGCAATGGAATTAAGAATATATAAATAAATATATGGACGAGCAATGTTAGAGCGGCATAGACTAAGATACAGTAGAATTGTATAGAATACAGTATATACATATGAGATGAGTAATGCAAGATATGTAAACATTATTAAAGTAACTTGTTTTCCATTTATTAAAGTGGCCAGTGATTTCTAATCTGTGTATATAGGCAGCAGCCTCTAATGTGCTAGTGAAGGCTCTTTAACGGTCTGATGGCCTTGAGATAGAAGCTGTTTTTCAGTCTCTCGGTCCCAGCTTTGATGCACCTGTGCTGACCTCGCCTTCTGGATGATAGCGGGGTGAACAAGCAGTGGGTCGGGTTGATGTTGTCCTTGATTATCGGGTGCTCTAGGTGTCCTGGAGGGCTGGTAGTTTGCCCCCGGCAGACCGCACCACCCTCTGGAGAGCCCTGCGGTTGCGGGCGGTGCAGTTGCCGTACCAGGCAGTGATACAGCCTGACAGGATGCTCTCAATTGTACATCTCTAAAAGTTTGTGAGGGTTTTAGGTGCCAAGCCAAATTTCTTCAGCCTCCTGAGGTTGAAGAGGTGCTGTTGCGCCTTCTTCACCACACTGTCTGTGTGGGTGGACCATTTCAGTTTGTCAGTGATGTGTATGCTGAGGAACTTGAAGCTTTCCACCTTCTCCACTGCGGTCCCGTCGATGTGGATAGGGGGGTGTTCCCTCTGCTGTTTCCTGAAGTCCACGATCATCTCCTTTGTTTTGTTGACATTGTGTGAGAGGTTATTTCCCTGGCACCACACTCCCAGAGTCCTCACCTCCTCCCTGTAGGCTTTCTCGTCATTGTTGGTAATCAAGCCTACTACTGTTGTGTCGTCTGCAAACTTGATTACATTTACATTTACATTTTAGTCATTTAGCAGACGCTCTTATCCAGAGCGACTTACAGGAGCAATTAGGGTTAAGTGCCTTGCTCAAGGGCACATTTACGTCATTTAGCAAACTTGATGATTGAGTTGGAGACGTGCTTGGCCACGCTGTCATGGGTGAACAGTGAGTACAGGAGGGGGCTGAGCACGCACCCTTGTGGGGCCTCAGTGTTGAGGATCAGCGAAGTGGAGGTGTTGTTTCCTACCTTCACCACCTGGGGGCAGCCCGTCAGGAAGTCCAGGAACCAGTTGCACAGGGCGGGGTTCAGACCCAGGGCCTCAAGCTTAATGATGAGCTTGGAGGGTACTATGGTGTTGAATGCTGAGCTATAGTCAATTAACAGCATTCTTACATAGGTATTCCTCTTGTCCAGATGGGATAGGGCAGTGTGCAGTGTGATGGCGATTGCATCATCTGTGGATGTATTGGGGCGGTAAGCAAATTGAAGTGGGTCTAGGGCGGCAGGTAAGGTAGAAGTGATATGATCCTTGACTAGTCTCTCAAAGCCCTTCATGATGACAGAAGTGAGTGCTACGGGGCGAGTCATTTAGTTCAGTTACCTTTGCTTTCTTGGGTACAGGGACAATGGTGGCCATCTTGAAGCATGTGGGGACAGCAGACTGGGATAGGGAGAGATTGAATATGTCTGTAAACACACCAGCCAGCTGGTCTTCGCAAGCTCTGAGGACGCGGCTAGGGATGCCATCTGGGCCGGCAGCCTTGTGAGGGTTAACACGCTTAAATGTCTTACTCACGTCGGCCACAGAGAAGGAGAGCCCACAGTCCTTGGTAGCAGGCCGCGTCGGTGGCACTGTATTATCCTCAAAGCAGGCGAAGAAGGTGTTTAGCTTGTCCGGAAGCAAGACGTCAGTGTTCGCGACGTGGCTGGTTTTCCTTTTGTAGTCCGTGATTGTCTGTAGACCCTGCCACATGCGTCTTGTGTCTGAGCCGTTGAATTGTGACTCCACTTTGTCCCTATACTGATGTTTTGCCTGTTTGATTGCCTTGCCGAGGGAATAACTTCACTGTTTGCATTCTGCCATATTTCCAGTCACCTTGCCATGGTTAAATGCGGTGGTTCGCGCTTTCAGTTTTGCGTGAATGCTGCCATCTATCCATGGTTTCTGGTTAGGGTTGGTTTTAATAGTCACAGTGGGTACAACATCTCCTATACACTTCCTGATAAACTCAGTCACTGTATCAGTATATACGTCGATATTATTCTCTGAAGCTACCCGGAACATATCCCAGTCCGCGTGATCAAAACAATCTTGAAGCGTGGATTCCGATTGGTCAGACCAGCGTTGAATAGTCCTTAGCACGGGTACTTCCTGTTTGAGTGTTTTAGCAGTGCAAGTACTACAGTCGATGTGTTGATAGAACTTCGGTAACCTTTTCCTCAAATTTGCTTTGTTAAAATCCCCAGCTACATTAAATGCAGCCTCAGGATATGTGGTTTCCAGTTTGCATAGAGTCCAGTGAAGTTATTTGAGGGCCGTCGTGGTATCGGCTTAAGGGGGGATATACACGGCCGTGACTATAACCAAATAAAATTATCTTGGGAGATAATACGGTCAGCATTTGATTGTGAGGTATTCTAGGTCGGGTGAACAAAAGGACTTGAGTTCCTGTATGTTATCACAGTTACACCATGAGTCGTTAATCACCTCCGCCTTTCTGCTTCCCGGAGAGATATTTATTCCTGTCTGCGCGATGAACTGAGAACCCAACTGGCTGGACCGACTCGGACAGTATATCCCGAGAGCCATGTTTCCGTGAAAACAGAGTATGTTACAATCCCTGATGTCTCTCTGGAAAGAAACCCTCGCCCTGAGCTCGTCAACTTTATTATCCAGAGACTGAACATTAGCGAGTAATATACTCTGAAGCGGTGGGTGGTGTGCACGCCTCCTAAGTCGGACTAGAAGGCCGCTCCGAGTACCTCTCCTCCGGCGTTGTTTTGGGTTGGCCTCTGGAATCAGTTAAATTGCCCTGGGAGGCGCGAACAAAGGATCCGCTTCGGGAAAGTCGTATTCCTGGTCGTAATGCTGGTAGTGCTGGTGAGTTAACGCCGCTCTGATACCAAATAGTTCTTCCCGGCTGTATGTAATAACACAAACAATTTTCTGGGCTAATAACGTAAGAAATAATACATTAAAAAAACAAAATACTGCAACGTTTCCTAAGAGCTAGAAGCAAGGCAGCCCTCTCTGTTGGCGCCATCTGTCAGCTATTGTTTCTACAATGCATATCATTGTATTATTAGGTTTTTTTTCACACTAGAGACAATGGTTTGTTCTGTTCAAGAAAGATCACTGAAGGGTTGCCATTAACAGTATGTGTATTCTCAATTATTTCACTGAGGGGTACTCTACTCACTTTCCCTGGAAGCCGAAGTATCCCCCCAGGATTCTCTTGTACTGGTCGTGGGAGCTGAACTGGATGGCAGCGTAGGGGATGACCCGTACCATGGTGGCAGAGTTGCCCCTCCACAGACTGAGGAAGCCATCTTTCATGTACGTACAATAGAGGAGTCTGAAGGCTTCCTGGGGGGGGGGGGGGGGGGGGGGGGGGGGGGGGGGGGAACACAGCAACACAACACACTTAACACTAGCTCAACAATACAACACTAGCTCAACAACACAACACTAACTCAACAAGACAGTCATGGTCCTGATCCCCCTCTCCGAGGGTGTCTCAGGGAGAGTGGAATATGCAAAAAACACATTTCCAAATCAAACATGCGTGAAATAGGAGAAATATAAGCACCTACCAAATTATTATTATTATTATTACTATTGAAAGGGCTGGAACCCTATTATAATTGCTAGGATTCATAATAAAAAATTTAAAAATTGATTATTTTCCTTTTTTTGGAGAGCTATAGCTCTTAAATGGTAAGACCTACAAACTTGGTGGGATGGTGTAAGTTGGTGGCCTAATACGTCTGGTTACACGTGATGTAACCAGTCTCAGCCAAATGGTGGCACTATAGTCCTGTGTAGCTCAGTTGGTAGAGCATGGCGCTTGCAACGACAGGGTTGTGGGTTCGATTCCCACGGGGGGCCAGTATGAAAAAAATGTATGCACTCACTAATTGTACGTCGCTCTGGATAAGAGTGTCTGCTAAAATAAACATTTGACTTCAAAAGGTTTTACATTTTTCAACAGCATCTCCTCAGAGACCACTACACAGATTTTGCGGAAACTTTGTGTACAGCATCTATAGACCAAGATCTTTAAAGGTATTATAAATTAAGTTGATATCTTAAACGTCATGGACGCTGTGAGCCAATGAAGTTGAGTGAGGCTGGGCCTGACAATTCAAGTCGCTCTTGGAGGGAATGGAGCCCCCTGCTGGCCATTCATCTCAATACGCTACAATGTTTCCTGACGTGTGTATTTGTCCACTACCCACATGGATTCAAAAGTATAAAATTGGTGTGAGTACCACAGATGAAGTAAAGACCGGAACCGATTAGATCAAGACTAGGCATGTTAACGGTTAACCATTAAATTGGTTAGCCGCAGAAAATATATATATTTGACCATGCTTATCGGTCTATAGGTTAAATTGCATAATTGAGTGGAATTAAATTGGCATGTTGGTATTTTTGTTAGTCGTCATGCGTCTTATTTATCACACGCGCACAGCATACACAGCCTAGATTGAGGAGCGGAGTGGCCTATCACCTGTCAGAGCAGCTCCTCAAAAAGCTAGTACTGCAGTGAAACGTGCTTTTATAAGCCCAGTCATTGTGCAACAAATAACAATTCTAAATGCAATGGCGTGTTCAAAACTTTTTTGATGGCCACGATTAAAAAAAGAGCTACTATTTTTATTTCTCAATCTCAACTCGTAATTAAAGTGCGCCTCCCATTCGCCATTCGAGTGCATAGGCTATAGTCAACGGTAAGCAGAGTCACCCACCACTTTAAAATGTGACCTTGAGGCAGTATAATTGTTTGAAACCTGAACGTTTTACTTTACTTCAAATAATGAGGAATGTCTTACCTTGCTTCAAAGTAGCCTAGCCAAAATCCAACCATAGAAATGTGGAGGCAATTATTTTATAAAGATTTCCTCATGCCATTAACCAGAATGTCTCTCCTACTCTATTGATTTTCAAATCAACTTTCTTTCGTTGTCCAGAAGCCAAAGGCACAATCCTATTCACCTTAGCAACCCATCCTAGTTGTGGCTATCAGATTCCCCCTCTTTCTAAGTTGCTAACTGAGATTTTCACCTCTGTCACATGTGGAACCGCTCGCATTAGGTGTGCTGTTTAGAACAGTGTTTTCCCACGAATTGCATTTTGGCAAATGTTTGAAAATGATGTTTTATTAGCTGCTTCATTACAGCAGTTGCATGTTCAATAATAGGCTATAGCCTTTTGACGACAGGCTTGCTATTGTTGCATGTTTTCGTTAATGAAAAATGTCAGTTCCTTGTATGCATGCATAGTATTTTCGGTTGGTCACGCCATTTTACTGTTTGGAATTGTTTTTACAGATTGTTGACCGATTAATGAGGATTGGTTAGTCAGCAGCAAAATATGCATCCCTAATCAAGACGCAGAACAAGACTTTCTGAGACCCAGACCAGTGAATCGACACACAAATCGACCAGACCAAGACCAGTTTAAATGGGGAAAAACAACATCCAGTAGAGTAAACGTGAGTAGAGTATAGTTCAGTACACTATAGTTCAGTACAGTAAAGTACAGTAAGGTCAAGTTCAGTACAGTACAGTATAGTTCAGTACAGTTCAGTTCAGTTCAGTTCAGTACAATACAGTAAAGTACAGTACAGTACTTTAGAGCACAGTGTAGTTGAGTACAGTTCAATACATTATAGACTGGTATGTTTGGGCCAAATATGCATCTATGTTTGGGCTCTTGGAGGGTTGGACCTCCCTGCTGGCTATGCATCGCAATACTCTATACTATTTCTTGAAGTGTGCACTGGTCCACTATTCACATGGTGGTCCTCTGTAGCTGAGTTGGTAGAGCATGGCTCTTGCAACGCCAGGATAGTGGGTTCGATTCTCGTGACCACCCAAATGTAAAGAATGTATGCACGCATGACTAAGTTGTTTTGGATAAAAGCGACCTGCTAAATGGCATATATTACATTATTATTATATTATGTTATAAGATGTGTAAGTGCAAGAAATTGAGTCAAGACTGTTCAGCGTTCTAATATTTAATATACAGAACATTCCCTTTGAAAAAGCAATGTTTTGAGTCGTCCAGCTTCAGACAGACTCATTAAAAAGTAACACACACCCAAGTGACCAAATAACATTCCCATCTAGGAGATAACACCAGTAAATCCTGCTCTGCCAGCCTCTGCCAATTGGGAAGACATACATCAAGTACATCTTTATTTATTTCAATGCAAGTTATATAATACACTCACCTTAGCAGAGAATCTTTGTGAGGACACTAAAGTAGGAGAAGGAGGAAAATAAGTATTACGGCAAAGATACTGTTATGATGTCTCTTCATAGTGGTGGGAACAAGGACATTTAGTAGATAGGTAATTCTTGGTGCCACACAGTCTAGAGGCCAAGGATTCCATTATGTCGAGGGAGCTTACTGAGGTTTATCTTAGAATAAATATGATTGATGGACATGATATACTGACTTGGGGTACAAGGTAATAACATCAAAGAAGGGAGTGCCAACTGATGGTTAACAGATGTTGTTGAAGAAACGTGTCACATGAGGTATATAAACTGAGATATTTTCTTTGTTCAGTAGTTCGGATGACAAGAGGCAGAGCTTCTTATTTGTATGAACTCTCCATCTAAGTGTTAAATATCTTCTTACATCATGAATTACTTGATACCCGAGAAACTCATCATAACAGATACTAACAATGAAATAAGTACAGTATATATTTACGAAAGGAACCCCTACTTTATATTCTGAATGCATGTTCTTCCAGGGAAATGGCCTTACCTTGGAAGATGATCTTGGTTCTGTCCAGAGGAGCTATGACTGTTTTGGCCACAGCGCCTGCAAATGCTCCACATAGCAGGGAGTCCAACACTGTCCATCTCTGCACACAGAAAGAAACACTCAGTGTTCCACTTCACACAGGACAATAAACATACTCCATAACTCTCACTACAGCAGTAATGGAGACTATAACATTGCATGATCACTGGCTGCAGATATAGGCTAAAGCAGGGCTCTTCAACCCTGCTCCTGGAGAGCTACAGTCCTGTAGGTTTTCACTCCAACCCTAATCTAGCACACCTGATTCTAATAATTAGCTGGTTGATAAACTGAAACAAGTTAGTTAAGTTACAGTTACAACTGAGGTTGGAGCGAAAACCTACAAGAGGGTAGCTCTCCAGGAACAGGGTTGGAGACCCCTGGGCTAAAGTTATCACATATAGGCTATAGGTTTCTCGTGCTCTTGGAGTAGTGTAACTTGAACTGTCTTTCAGCAGATTTCTAACCCATTTTACAGTAAACTGTAGTACACCTCTCTTCCACGAGTATACATTCATATGGTCTGCAGAGTAGTAATGCGCCATGATGTCATTGTATCTTGTAGCCTACTTTAGAGTACAGCACTCCAGACATAAACAGCTTTACTTGCCTCTAACTGGAGGTGGAGATAATCTCTTCGCTGGTCCAGAATGTGTTTGTGTGTGTGAGGGTGTGGGTTGTAAAAGTTAATTGGACAGTGGACCCAATAAAATCCCTGATAAGGTGTGTTTGGGATGCAGGGGGAGATAAGTATTTTGAGGCCACACCGGGAATTTGCAAGCAGTCTGCAGCAATGCATAGGTTGGAAAGTTTTGACTTGAGCAGCCATTGAGGGAGGCAGATGCTTTTTTATGGTGACCGACTTCTGTACTGCTCTTTGTTGCTCTCTTGAGCAATTGAAGAATTTGCATTACAGTGATGACTAACATTGCCAGTGCCATTTGGTACTAAACTCAGCAAAAAAGAAACGTCCCTTTTTCAGGACCCTGTCATTCAAAGATAATTAGTAAAAATCCAAATAACTTCACAGATCTTCATTGTAAATGGTTTAAACACTGTTTCCCATGCTTGTTCAATGAACCATAAACAATTAATGAACATGCACCTGTGGTAGGCAATTAAGGTCACAGTTATGAAGACTTAGGACACTAAAGAGGCCTTTCTACTGACTCTGAAAAACACCAAAATAAACATTCCCAGGGTCCCTGCTCATCTGCGTGAACGTGCCTTAGGCATGCTGCAAGGAGGCATGAGGACTGCAGATGTGGCCAGGGAAATAAATTGCAATGTCCGTACTATGAGACGCCTAAGACAGCGCTACAGGGAGACAGGATGGACAGCTGATCGTCCTCGCAGTGGCAGACCACATGTAACAACACCTGCACAGGATCGGTACATCCGAACATCACACCTGCGGGACAGGTACAGGATGGCAACAACAACTGCCTGAGTTACACAAGGAATGCACAATCCCTCCATCAGTGCTCAGATTGTCCGCAATAGGATGAGAGAGGCTGGACTGAGGACTTGTAGGGCTGTTGTAAGGCAGGTCCTCACCAAACATCACCGGCAACAATGTCGCCTATGGGCACAAACCCACCGTCGCTGGACCAGACAGGACTGGCAAAAAGTGCTCTTCACTGACGAGTCGCGGTTTTGTCTCACCAGGGGTGATGGTCGGATTTGCGTTTATCGTCGAAGGAATGAGCGTTACACCGAAGCCTGTAATCTGGAGCGGGATCGATTTGGAGGTGGAGGGTCCGTCATGGTCTGGGGCGGTGTGTCACAGCATCATCGGACTGAGCTTGTTGTCATTGCAGGCAATCTCAACGCTGTGCATTACAGGGAAGACATCCTCCTCCCTCATGTGGTACCCTTCCTGCAGGCTCATCCTGACATGACCCTCCAGCATGACAATGCCACCAGCCATATTGCTCGTTCTGTGCGTGATTTCCTGCAAGACAGGAATGTCAGTGTTCTGCCATGGCCAGCGAAGAGCCCGGATCTCAATCCCATTGAGCACGTCTGGGACCTGTTGGATCGGAGGGCGAGGGCTAGGGCCATTCCCCCAGAAATGTCCGGGAACTTGCAGGTGCCTTGGTGGAAGAGTGGGGTAACATCTCACAGCAATAACTGGCAAATCTGGTGCAGTCCATGAGGAGGAGATGCACTGCAGTACTTAATGCAGCTGGTGGCCACACCAGATACTGACTGTTACTTTTGATTTTGACCCCCCCCCCTTGTTCAGGGACACATTATTCAATTTATGTTAGTCACATGTCTGTGGAACTTGTTCAGTTTATGTCTCAGTTGTTGAATCTTATGTTCATACAAATATTTACACATGTTAAGTTTGCTGAAAATAAACACAGTTGACAGGGTGAGGATGTTTCTTTTTTTGCTGAGTTTACTTAGTAATAAATAAAAAATTAAAGATACAATCTAGCCTAGTTCACTCTGACCCCATACCCATGTGCCAGGTTCTTCCATGCTACTCAAAGGTTACTTGCTGTTCTGGTAAACATGTTTGACAGCCTTCAGCTGGCTGGTCCTGGCCTGCATGTTCCTGCTATAAACAGCTCTGTGGTATGTAGGCCTGCCTAGCTGCTGGAAGGCTCCTGCATCAGGGAAAACCCACGAGGTAGGGGGTGAGGGGGGCTCACTTTAGCCTGGCCGGAGGGAGGGAGAGACAGCACTGCTGCCTGGGGCTGTGCCATCTGGTGGTCCTGCACTGTATGGGCCATGTGTGCCCTTGACGACGCCCAGTATCTATGTCAGACACTCAGTCAACACCAGACAATCCACTGTAGGAGATAGAAACATGGTGATAAACAACATACCCTCCCACTGCATGTATACATGAGCTCTGTGTCACCTTCATTAAATATGCTGTTAGATGTATTGGAAATTTACATTTACGTCATTTAGCAGACGCTCTTATCCAGAGCGATTTACAGTTAGTGAGTGCATACATTTTCATAATAATAATAATAATAATATGCCATTTAGCAGACGCTTTTTATCCAACGGACTTACAGTCATGCGTGCATACATTTTTTTTGTGTATGGGTGGTCCCGGGGATCGAACCCACTACCTTGGCGTTACAAGCGCCATGCTCTACCAGCTGAGCTACAGAGGCCTTCCCTGTATGTATCAAATGTATCAACTTCCCTATTTGCAAAGTAACAGAAAATAATTAACACCTAGCTACATACTGTTTAATTTCCTCTATAGATAAAACAGTCCATCACAATTGGCTATGTAATTAATTCTAGAATATTCCCAGCTTTACCTAAATTTAACATCTTTACTCATTATCAACACAATATATGATATACTATTATGAGACACTCATCATAATAAATTACTGCAAAATAATCCAAACAAATAATTAAATGTTAGAAATAAAAAGTAAACATTGCTGCACACCACTTCAGCCGCACACCATAAATAAAGAAGTGCAATGAATGAATGCGCATAATAATTCCTTCGCCTTTACTCTTGTTTACTGTGCGTGTGTTTGTTGCAAATCCGGCCAATCTTCAACAATCTTCAGCAATGTTTCACATTCAGTGGTCAACTCCTCTGTCGTCTTCCGAGATCCGTCGCCACATTTCCCAGTTTGTTTGATGTCGTTGGGTCAATCTCTGTGGTCAACACATCAGTCTACTTGTCCATCTATCTCACCGTTTATTATTTTTTCCAAGGTGATTGAAAACGACAGGTGCCAAACTGCTACAGGGAAGGTGGTGGCCTATTTTTAGGTGTTGTCTGCCTAAAAATCATTGGAGTTTGCTCACGCACGAGATTATTGTCTTTCAAGGGTTTATCAGTTTGAGGGCACGTACAATTGTTTTGGACTACAAGTCCCATGGATATTTTCAAATCAAACGTTGGACTCCACGCGAAATCACGCGAGGGTGACACAGCACTCAGTACTTGTTGTTGTTGTTGTTGTTGTCGGGAAAATGGCGTCCAACGTAGAGGCCCCGGAATCGTGGTACCTCGCCCTCCTTGGCTTTGCAGAACATTTCCGCACCTCAAGTCCACCCAAAATTCGTCTGTGTGTGCATTGTCTTCAAGCGGTTTTCCAGTTTAAACCTCCGCAAAGGGTGGAGGCCAGAACTCACCTTCAACTCGGCTCGGTGCTCTATCATCATACGAAGAACAGCGAGCTCGCGCGGAGCCACTTGGAGAAAGCGGTGAGGGAGAGTTTGGGAAAGCTCGAGGATGGAACCAGAGATGCGCTGATCGAGGCCTTGAATAGTCAAATTGGAACAGTAACAAGTTCCATAGCTAGCTTTAGATCCTGGCTTTCTGGTATCAGTCATAAGTATTTGCATTCAGAAGATAATTTGTTAGCATGATAGCCTAGCAGGCAGGTCTGCGCATCTTTCACTCATTCACTGTGTTAGAAGTTGCTACTACTGTTGATTGCTTTGACTGCATGCAACATTTTACTGTATTTTGTCTCTAACATATCCTCTTTTCTATTTTGTTTCAGTGGTTAATATCACAACAAGTATCCTTTTCAATTATATGGTTTCAACCCCAACACTACAGTAGCTAGCATTATAATGTCGTGCAATTCTGCAGAACATTGCTCAGTTCTGTGTTTGCTGTTCCATTATGCCTCGATAGTCAAATTCTGTATTAAATGGCAATTAAGTGGTTTCCTTCACAGAATATCTCAGATCCCACAGTTTGAAGATGTTAAATTTGAAGCAGCAAGTCTTTTGTCAGAACTCTACTGTCAGCAGGTACCGGTAAATAAAGCTAAAATACATTTTCCTGCTTTTGCGATGTCTGGAGACCCATTTGACATGCGTTTTCATGAATGTGTAAGGTCGAGTAGTTTTGATTCTGTATTTGTTATTTTCAGAATCTGGTGGATTCTGCAAAGCCTTTACTGCGAAAGGCAATCCAGATCTCACAGCAAACTCCCTATTGGCACTGTCGCCTGCTGTTTCAACTGGCGGTACGTTGTACTGTAAGATGTACTGTAAATACTGACTGAACTGACTTTTCTCTTTTGGATGTTTGATTGTAGGCCTTTACATTGCAGTGTATTGAATGTATCTTATTTTTTCCTTTATCAGCAACTGCACACTCTGGAGAAAGACCTTGTGTCTGCCTGTGACCTCCTAGGGGTCGGTGCTGAGTATGCCAGAGTGGTGGGCTCGGAATACACCAGGTACTGTAACCTTGCTGCGCTGAACTATTTACATTTTCTGTCCATATTTAATAATACGTAAAACATGTTATGTTAAACATGCCCTCCAATTAACTGAATGAAAACATTTCTATAAAGGTCAGCTGAATATGTATGCACTCACTAACTGTAAGTCGCTCTGGATAAGAGCGTCTGCTAAATGACTAAAATGTCAATGTAAATATGTAATGTGTGTTTTTCACAGGGCACTGTTCCTCCTGAGTAAAGGAATGGTAAGTCTCAAATTCTTTGTTATGAAAATGCAGAATTTTGTATCTGTCATTAGCATTTTAGTAAGGATCAGCAGATATCTTAATTATGCAATGCGCTTATAGCATGGGAATAAACAAATATTTTGCACTAGAGAATCCATACCATAATGTTCTGTTTGTCCTGTGTATCAGCTCCTACTGATGGAGAGGAAGCTGGGGGAGGTGCACCCTCTGCTCACGCTGTGCGGGACGATCGTGGAGAACTGGCAGGGAAATCCCATCCAGAAAGAGTCTCTCAGGGTATTTTTCCTGGTGCTGCAGGTCACACACTACCTGGATGCCGGACAGGTAAAGACTCCTGTCAGGCTGGATCAAGACCAGGGATGCACCAACTGTGGTCCCCAAGGGCAATAACACCCAAGATTGTAGTCGTGCACCCCTGGACAAGATGTATGCTTTCCCACTAGTTTGTAGTGTAGTTGAAACAGCTTCACTGGTATTGACCACCTCCATGTTGTGTTGCAGGTGAAGAGTGTGAAGCCCTGTCTTAAGCAGCTGCAGCAGTGCATCCAGACCATCTCTACACTCCATGATGATGAGATCCTGCCCAGTAACCCTGCTGACCTCTTTCACTGGCTGCCCAAGGAACACATGTGTGTTCTCGTCTACCTGGTGAGCCCCATCTTTTCCCTTATCATCTGATACCTGAGGACTGATCCCCCATAGACACTTGTGCAGATCTGAAAGGATTAGATAGGTAATAGCAACATGTTACATGGTAATAACCTTGTTCTCTATGTTCCAGGTGACCGTCATGCACTCCATGCAAGCAGGGTATTTGGAGAAGGCACAGAAATACACAGACAAAGCGCTCATGCAGCTTGAGAAACTAAAAAGTAAGTGATTTGAAGGCCACATGCCTCGCCTCTTTTCTGCACTACTATCAAAATCATCTGTTTAACACTCACTGTTGTCTAAAACGTCTTGTTCACCCCCCTTTATTTCAGTGCTGGACAGCAGTCCCATCCTCTCCACGTTCCAGGTCATTCTGCTGGAGCACATCATCATGTGTCGGCTAGTCACTGGTCACAAGGCTACTGCATTACAAGAGGTAATGTAGAAGCAGCTATAGACCAATTTTATTTCTGTTGAACTCATTCACTCTGAAATTAAACACTGTGCGAAGTTACAGTGGAATGTTAAAAGTTGAATCAAAGTAGCTACTGGAATATATGAAGGGCAGTTTGGTGCCCGTTGACAGTTAAGATGGGATAGAGATAAGGAACAGCATGTCATTTATGAGGATGATGACTTTCTCTCTCCATATCCCAGATCTCCCAGGTCTGCCAACTGTGCCAACAGTCCCCCAGGTTATTCACCAATCACGCTGCTCAACTCCACACTCTACTAGTAAGTATTTGAAACCTTCACCCAGAATACATACCCTCAATTCACTGTCTTGAATAACACAGTTTACCACCCACTTCTCTAACTGGTGTTAAAATGCTGTTCCATTTTTTTTCAGGGCCTGTATTGCATATCTGTCAACTGTATGGACAATGCAGAGGCACAGTTCACTGCCGCTTTGCGGGTAAGTGATGTAAGTTGTAACGCTAAGCTTATTATATGGGTCTTGCATGTGTTCAATATATATTACATTGTCACATTTTGGATAGTAAGTTAATCTGTGTGTTTCCTTTCCAGCTAACCACGCACCAGGAGCTGTGGGCGTTCATTGTGACAAACCTCGCCAGTGTCTACATCAGGGAAGGAAACAGACACCAGGAGGTTAGTAGAAACACACAATCACACACACACACTATTCATTTTTACTCAAAATAAATGATTGTCAACTGTATTAACTTTGTTTCTTTTAAAGCTCTACAGTCTCCTTGAGAGGATAAACCCTGATCACAACTTTCCTGTGAGGTGTGTAAACACGTATTGCGTAACACAGAGATTTGAATGGTTACTCAATTTTGCTTTGTAATCCAAACACATTCTCAGAGCCAACTACCTTGATTTTGAAGGCTAAGACTGCAGCCCATTGCTGAGATGGTGTATTGACTACAAGCTGACCGACATGTTTGTTTGGTTGTGTTGCAGCTCTCACTGTCTCCGCGCTGCAGCTTTCTACATCCGAGGACTCCTGTCCTTCTTCCAAGGACGCTACAACGAGGCCAAGTGAGTTTCCCCCACCTTCTCTTTTACTGAGTTGCTGAGAAGTGTCCCATACGTCCTCACATTTTCTGTGGTAATTGGAAAATAAATCATTTCATGAAGATATTCTTATTGCAGACGGTTCCTTAGAGAAACTCTAAAGATGTCCAACGCGGAGGACCTGAATAGACTGACAGCCTGCTCACTGGTTCTGCTAGGCCATATATTCTATGTACTGGGAAACCATAGGGTAAGATCACTCCACAATGGTCACGAATGGATCTTTTGCTAGGAACATCTACCCTGCCCCTATACAAAAAAAAAGTATGGGTCCATGGCGTAGTGTATAGTATACATTTTATTCAACATGTGCGGAAAAAATTATTTGTGTATGTAGCTTGCATAACAATATGTTTTTGTTTTTCTCTAGGAAAGCAACAACATGGTGGTCCCAGCGATGCAGCTGGCTAGCAAGATCCCTGACATGTCTGTCCAGCTGTGGTCCTCAGCACTTTTAAAAGGTACGCCCCTACCTGTACATTTATTTTGGCTTTGGATTGAGCTTCAATGCTCCCTACTAAGCTTAAAGTATTTGATGTAGGTTTCCTTGACCACGCTGTTTTTGTCTCGTCTGTGTAGATCTGAACAAGGCCCTGGGAAACACCATAGATGCCCATGAAGCAGCTCAGATGCACCAGAACTTCTCCCAGCAGCTTCTCCAGGACCACATCGCTGCCTGCAGCCTCCCCGAACACAACCTAATCAGTGTACGTATCAATTTATCTTTGTTAACTTTTTATCTTTAATTATTACTGGTGTCAAAGTTGTGTATCGTAAATAGATAATATAGCTTGTTTAGCTGTGTTTCTGTCTGTCTGTCTGTCTGGCTCAGATGTGTAATTAACTATACTAATCTCTCTGTAACAGTGGACGGACGGCCCACCACCTGGGCAGTTTCAAGCCCAGAACGGCCCGACAACCAGCCTGGCCAGCCTGCTATGAGCACTTGGCTCCATCATACACATGCATACGAGAGAGCGAGAGCAAACTAACAACACACAAGGGCTACCTTTCTTCTAGCCTCAAATATGTCTATAATTCAATTATCGTTTCTTTCTATCTTATGAAAATTAGAGGGGGAGTGGGAAACATAATAGCAGTTATACGATTAATTTATTAATGTTGATATTTTTGTAACTTTTGAAAAATATTTTAAGCTTTTCTTTGTATGAATGCCTTTTTTTCCTATGCATGGAAGTTACTGATGTTGATTAACTCTACATGTGTTGCTACCATTTGCTGAGGATTTTCACAGCTAATCCTTGTTTTGTAGCACCACATCCAAATGAATTAGTGTAGGTACACTTGGCATCACTTCTCATGTATTGAACCAGCAACATGTTTTGTTTCATGTTAAGTTTGGACTTGAATGTTAAATTGGTAGAGTTGAGCAAAAGGGTTTGAATTTCTTCCTGCATGAGTGCAAGAGAGAATAGTGAAAGTATTGAAATGTCCATCAAGTGCAGTTACTTAATAGACCAGCAGGTGTCCCTGTTGAGCTGTTTTGCTAAACCTGCTTTGAGAGAGGATTTTTCTGTATCATTTGGCTTGTCATAGATCACCAATTTGCCAATTTTGAAGATGCATCACAAACTCACAACTATTATTGGCTATACATAAATTCTAGTTCATTTATTGAGTTCCATAGATCATGAAGTTGGACATTTTTTGAACATACGAGAAACTTTTGGGTTAAGAAAATCAATGTATTACCTTTTGTTATGTTATAATTTCTCTTTATAGTTCTAGTAAAGGGTTTTCTTTACAATACATTGTATACATATGCCACATCGGAAACCTTTATTGTACAGTGACATTTTATAAAGTAAATGTAGTCAAGTGTGTAATGTATTTTAACTACCAGTATCCCATGTAGAAATCCAACTCAATGCTTGATATTTAAGTCAATCTATATGGACACATCAGAAGCTTGAGTATTTGCCATATTCTATCCAATGCCTATGTTTTTATTGCTTATATTTTTTTCAATATTTTGAGGAACAAAAGTCTGAATAAATGTGGTATTTGCAACCATAATTATGTGTTGTTTAAGAATCTTCAATTTGCAGCACATATGATTTCATACCATGATAACTATTTATGAAAGACATTTATGTCAACATGAACCATAGGTGAGTGCAATTCACCTCCTGAATTAATTTAATTGTGAATAATTGACCCCAATGCCCTGTAAAACAACACATTTCACTGCACCTATGTGACAATAAAAAAATATTTAACTCCCTGCATAATGGTCAGTTGAGCTGTGTGCAGTGTACCAAGCATAAAGTCAAACGGGAGCAATGAAAATAGAATGATTGAATAGGCCTAAGAAATTTCAAGAAAAAGGCTTGTGCCTGGCTGATGCTTCTTTCAATAATAAATTTGCACCATTTGTGGTTAAGAAGACCTATCATGTTTCAAGTTTTAATGTCACATACACATGTACAGTGAAATGCCTTTCTTGCAAGCTCTAAACCCAACAATGCAGTAATCAATAACAATATAATACTAAAAATAACATAAAGTAGAACAAAAACACAAGAAAGTAAGTAAGCATACTATATACAGGGTCAGTCAGTTCCAGTACCATACTTACAATGTGCAGGCTACTGGAGTGATAGAGGTATAATATAATAATAATATGCCATTTAGCAGACGCTTTTATCCAAAGCGACTTACAGTCATGCGTGCATACATTTTTGTGTATGGGTGGTCCCGGGGATCGAACCCACTACCTTGGCGTTACAAGCGCCGTGCTCTACCAGCTGAGCTACAGAGGACCACATACGTATAGGGGTAAGGACTAGGCCACAACCGACTGAGGAGGAGGTAATGTAAATGTAATTCAGTAATTATCTGTACAGTTAACAGTATTTATTACAGTATGATATGAATTCAATGCACCCCAAAACAGTCCAGTAACTGGTTTGCAATGTAGTAGGTGCATAGTAGGACAGAGAAATATTGTTACAGTGATCCACCCATTCTGTATTTTAACTTAGATTTACACTTTGAATCGTCTCCAGATGTGCAACTACTCGATTTGCCTTCTTATGAAGTTAACCTTCATCTAAAATGTAATTTTCTGGTATTTCTGTTGGTATTTGTGTGTATCCTTCAAAAACAACAAATGTAATAGTAGTATCTCCTTGTGCAATTGAAGTCATTTCAGAAGATGATATGTATGCTTTGGATGATTTGCCACTTATTCCATGTAAAGTGTTCCTAAGATTTCAGCGTATTCAAATATGCAACTCTGAGCTGTTCTTGTCTATTGATGTTCTGTATTATTTCATGTTTGTGTTTTGTGTGGACCCCAGCAAGAGTAGCTTCTCCTTCAGCAACAGCTAATGGGGGTCCTAATAAAATACTAATACTAACTCAACAGTTATTATCTACCATAAAAAAAGATGTACTGTGTCTGTACAAATAGGTCTATCTTGAAAGACCATAAAAATTGAGCTCTATAGGAGAAAGCCCTGCCTCCTTTTTGCTTAGAAATTCTAGGGACAATAAGGAGGCCTGCGTCTTGTGACCATAGCGTAAGGCAGGGTTCTTCAATTCCGGTCCTGGAGGGCCGAAACACTTCTGTTTTTTATTTCTACCTGGTAGTTAATTACACTCACCTGGTGTCCCAGGTCTGAATTAGCCCCTGATTAGGAGAGGATGAAAAACAGAGGTGTTTCGGCCCTCCAGGACCGGAATTGAAGAACCCTGGCGTAAGGTAATATAAGGAACCTCTGTTTCATGTGATGTTGCTGCTTTAGGACTGGTGAGAAGCAGACAGAAGTCTGCCTCTATTGTTGAAGAGGTGCAAGAGAAGCCTGTCTCTATTGTTGAGGAGGTGCAGGAGAAGTCTGTCTCTATTGTGGAGGACGTGCAGGAGAAGTCTGTCTCTATTGTGGAGGATGTGCAGAAGAAGTGTATTCTCTATTGTTGAAGTCCAGGAGAAATCTGCCTCTTCCTTCTTCTCTGCCTTCTTTGACTCACTCAGCCACAGTGTGGAGAACAAGTCCACTAAGGGAGGCGACAAGACCCCTGGTCCCTTCCATCATGCAGGACACCGGTAAGAACCATCCTGCTGTTCTTAGTGTGAGTAAAGAGGCTCTTAGAATGGTCACATACATACAGTGCATTCGGAAGGTACTCAGACCCCTTGACGTTTTCCACATTTTGTTACGTTACAGCCTTATTCTAAAATGGATCAAATCGTTTTTTCCCCCCTCACACAATACCCCATAATGACAAAGCAAAATCAGGTTTTTAAAAAACCTGAAATATCACATTTACATAACTATTCAGACCTTTTACTCAGTACTTTGTTGAAGCACCTTTGGCAGCGATTACAGCCTCGAGTCTTCTTGGGTCTGACGCTACAAGCATGGTAGACCTGTATTTGGGGAGTTTCTCACATTCTTCTCTGCAGATCCTCTCAAGCTCTGTCAGGTTAGATGGGGAGTGTCGCTGCACAGCTATTTTCAGGTCTTTCCAGAGATGTTCGATCGGGTTCAAGTCCAGGCCACTCAAGGACATTCAGAGATTTGTCCCGAAGCCACTCCTGCATTGTCTTGCTGTGTGCTTAGGGTTTTTGTCCTGTGGGAATGTGAACGTTCGCCCCAGTCTGAGGTTCTGAGTGTTCTGGAGCAGGTTTTCATCAAGGATCTCTCTATACTTTGCTCAGTTTATCTTTCCCTCGATCCTGACTAGTCTCCCAGTCCCTGCCACTGACAAAACATCCCCACAGAATGATGCTGCTACCACCATGCTTCACTGTGGTGCCAGGTTTCCTCCAGACGTGACGCTTGGCATTCAGGCCAAAGAGTTCAATCTTGGTTTAATCAGACCAGAGAATCTTGTTTCTCATGGTCTGAGAGTCTTTAAGTGCCTTTTTGCAAACTCCAAGCGGGCTGTCATGTGGCTTTTACTGAGGAATGGCTTCCGTCTGGCCACTACCATAAAGTCCTGATTGGTGGAGTGCTGCAGAGATGGTTGTCCTTCTGGAAGGTTCTCCCATCGCCACACAGAACTCTGGAGCTCTGTCAAAGTGACCATCGGGTTCTTGGTCACCTCCCTGACCAAGGCCCTTCTCTCCCGATTGCTCAGTTTGGCCGGTGGCCAGCTCTAGGAAGAGTCTTGGTGGTTCCAAACTTCTTCGGAACCACCAACAATCCTGTCTCGGAGCTCTACAGACAATTTCTTCGACCTCATGGCTTGGTTTTTGCTCTGACAGGCACTGTCAACTGTGGGACCTTATATAGACAGGTGTGTGCCTTTCCAAATCATGTCTAATCAATTGAATTTACTACAGGTGGATTCCAATCAAGTTGTAGAAACATCTTAAGGGTGATCGATGGAAACAGGATGCACCTGAGCTCAATTTCGAGTCTCATAGCAAAGGGTCTGAAAACTTATGTAAATGAGGTATTTCTGCTTTTTCTTTTTAATACATTTGCAAAAATGTCAAAAAACCTGTTTTCACTTTGCCATTATGGGGTATTGTGTGTAGACTGATGAGGGGAAAAAATAATTTCAGATCAATTTTAGAATAAGGTTGTAGCATAACAAAATGTGGAAAAAGTCAAGGGGTCTGAATACTTTCCGAATGCACTGTATATGAGATACCTGCCCCAGGATGAGATACAGTTAGAGCAGTCTGCTTCCTCTATCACCAAGGAGATCCAAAAGCAACCTGCCTCCTCAGCATCATCCTTTCACAATACTGATGGCAAGGCTGCCTCCTCTGTCCAAAGCCAGAAAGCAGAGGGAAGTGACAAGTCTTCCCTCAATAAACAGGTAAGATTTAATCTACTACACTTACAGTGGGTGGACAAACATCAGTCTGATGAGGAGTCTCTTCAGAGTATTTCTATGGACATCCAGGAGCAGCCAACCAGTGTGCTCTTAGTGTGAGTAAAGATCCTACAAGACAGGCCCCAGCCGCCATATTAATGCTAGATACCTCTGTTTCATGTGATGTTGCTGCATCAGGAATCTGATGAGAAGTCTGCCTCTGTCCACAGTGTGGAGAACAGGCCCATGACAAGGCCCCCCAGTCCCTTCTATCCCTTAGGACATGGGTGAGAATACTTTTTATGATTGTTTTAATGTGATGTAAGATGCTCTATGAGTGGCCACATACTGATACTAAAATATCTATGTTTCATGTGGTGCCGCTTCCCCAGGATTAAATGCAGATAAAGGAGTCTACCTCTATCGTTGAGGAGACACAGGAGAAGTCTGCCTCATCTATTGCTAAGGAGGTCCAGGAACAGCATGCCTCTTCCACATTCTCTGCCTTTACCAGCAAGAAAAATTCTGCTGAGGAAGGGAACAAGTCATCTAGGTCCCTTGCAGCACACCCATCCCATGGGGAGGATTGAAAGCTGGCTGCACTGAGGGAGGCTCTGAAGAAAGAGAGGGCAGCTAAAGCTGTTCTACAGGCGTCACTGGACAAAGAGCATTGCACAAGCATGAAGCTCTGGCTGAGAGCCAACAAAATTGCTTCAGACTTCAAGATGGAGCAGAGCAAGATCAAGAAGCAAGAGGCTGAGAAGCTGGAGTTGAGCGCCCAGCTGTAAGGCCAATCAAGAACAGAATAATCTCTTGGCTTCTCTTATGCTGAAGGCGGACCAACTGGCCTCTGAACTGGCAGAGGAACACGTCAGGAGCCAGAAGCTAAAGTTAGACATTGAGGCTGCCTTTGATGAGCAGCAAGAAGCTCTGGAAGAGTGTGTTCATCTGTCTGCGGAGAGGCAGGCCATGGTGATAGAGCTACAAGAGTCTGCTTCATCCGCTAAAGCTCAAAGTGAACAGCTAAAATAGAGCCTCGAGAGAGAGAGATCTCTGAAAAGCGAGATCAGAGCTCCCAAGTGCAGGACCTGAGGGTTCAAGTGAAGGCCTTCCTGGAGGTCAATGCAGAAATGAGCCTGAGCGCTGTCAGAATGACCTCTAATCTATCAGAGGAAAAGATCAGGACACAGAAGCTCCAGGCTGTCCTTGAGGCTTACCTCGAGGCTGCCCTCTCCAAGCATTAGATTGTGCTGGAGGAGCGTCAAGAGACCAGAGCGGTCTGCAGTGACTTGGAGGAGGCTGTCGCCTCAAAGATGGTCAAGGCTGAAAAATGACATTAACAGTCTAGCCCTGAAAAAGAGCAAGCAAGAACAGAGTGACCTAACTTCCAGCCTGCAGGCTGAGAGCAGTCGCTGCC